GAATATGTCATTGGTCGCGTACATGTGGTACGCCAAAAATAATTTGACATGCCTTATAAAAAGTTATTAAAGGCAAAAGTAAAGCAAGAAATGATTTTGCTTATGATGATTTTGACCATGACAATTATTATAATATAATTTTCTCCGTGAAGGAGACATTCACCATATGGATGGTGTGACAAAAGATCTTGTAGTACAAAATCAATTACGAGCTCTGGAAGAGCTAATTTATTACTACCCGGATGAATAAAATTGTTCATGACACTGATATTGTAGTAAGTCTCAAAAGAAACTTTTTGAGTTTCAAATGTATTAGCCAAAGTGGTTGACATATTGAGACTATAAATGAAAGGAAGATTGATTATCTTGATATTACTATAATATACCGGGTAAATATGAAGGTTACCTGATTTTTCTTCTATTTGTACTACAGATGTATAAGCATGATGATAAAATCACATGCCATAGTAAATTAAATGTTTACTGAAACAAATATCAGTTGGCATGACCGGTTGGCCATCCCGATTTATTGATGCGAAAATTAATTGAGAATTCACATTGGCATATATTGAAGAAATAGAAGATTCTTCACGAATTCTCTTGTGCTGCTTATTCTTATGATATACCAGTTAAGGTTGGGACTATTCCCTTGATTTCTGGAACAAATAGAAGGTGATATATATATGGGCCCAGTCACCTGCCATGTGGTTGTTTACTATTATATGATTTTAATAGATGCATCTATTGTATGGTCACATGTGCGTTTGTTATCAACTTGCACTTTGGTTTTGCAAGGTTGTTTGTTCAAATTATTAGAGCACAGTTCCAGAATATATATGATAATTTATCTTGATAGTGCTGGTTTAAATCCAAGTTGGTTTAGCAGAAATTGTATGCTTCCAGTTATAGCTAAACCATTGGTTATGAGAACAAAACTCCCAAATAAAAATTTGGTATGAGGTGTATTATTTAATATACAACATCACTTGTACGCATCTAGCCAACAAGTTATGATAAATTCTCCCCATCAAAATTGGTTCACGGTCAGGAACCAAATATTCCCATCTAGAAATATGGATGTGCTATATGATTTAATTGTGCTGCCACAATGCACAAAGTTGGGTTCCCAAAGAAGGTTGAAAAATGCGTTGGTGATCCCGACATTAGGGGGAGAAAATGGGCAGCTGAAAAAGTGATACGTGAATGAATTATTATGAATACATCTAGATCCTCGTACACGAAAATGTGAACTTGAAGTTCAAGTGATAATTCATTTCTAAAATATTTCCAAGCACATTGTTGACCCAAAGTTAAATGTCATATTCCAGCTACTAATGCTCCAAATAGAATAAAGTCCATGATGGACATAGTCTATGGAACTCTTGAAGCGTAATAGACTAATCGGTTCCAAAGATAAAACTCCTTGAAGAAGGAGAGAAGCAAATGTTCAAGATGGTCATAATAAGGAGGAAAGTGCTATATAAGAGCACCATGACATAACATTTTATAAGACCTCATGGGAGAGGCTCAGGTACCTGAAAATAATGAGATCTCGATAAGTTATGTCTTTATTGACTGATGATGGAACCGATGTAAAATGATCGTCGACGATGTTGTTAATATAATGTAGCGCTCAATATTATTAATATTGACGAGGATCTTGAGCTCAAATCTGTCATGGAATTTGGACAGATAAATGATTGGCCAAATGAAAAATATGCAATGAAAATTGACTTCATCTGACAAATATGAAGTTTGGACGAATAGTCCCAACAGCTGAGAGTATAAAGGCTATATGGAGATATTGAAATATGATTAATATTATATTGCAAAAAGAATCCTTGATATAGATTTGTTTATTCTAACAAATATTGTCAAGGTTTTGTTGTTTATGCAAATGCAGACATTTATTGAAGTCCACTCTTCAAACAATCTATTTGTATGTGAGGAATTGTCATATTATCATTTCACAAGATGTGTGACTTTTCTTTGAAGAGAAGATTCCAATAATAATGAAGAAGCTGATGTTTGCTTATCTCAATTGAAAGAAGAATATTGAAGGAGACTGAATAAATTATATATTTCATCAAAGTTCTTTGTCAGACACGATCTTCAACAGAATGATGAAATAGATGTTCAAGAAATTCGTTCAAGTGATAATTTGGCGGAATAATTCACCAAGGCATTGTCGATCTCAATATTAGAGAAGTTGTTAGACAAGCTTGGAATTCATTGTGATATTTTCATCAGGGGGAGGCAAATATGTGTCGTACTCTTTTTCCCTTAGCTAAGGTTTTATCCCACTAGGTTTTCCTGGCAAGGTTTTTAACGAGGCAGCAAATAAAGCGTATTACAGATATGTGTACTCTTTTTCCTTCACTAGGATTTTTTTCCCATAGGGTCTTTTCCTAGTAAGGTTTTAACGAGGCACATTATCTTTGGACATCCAAGGGGGAGTGTTATGAAATACTTGATTATGGTGGATGTCCATAACTCCTAAGGGAATAACACCCACTACTCTTCTCCATTAACCTCCCACTACTTCTTACCATTATGGATGTAACTCCCACACCTCCATGATCTTCCCCCATGTTCTCAATAGTTAATACCATGTTTATGGAGTCCCTTTGTATTACCTATATCATCCTATAAACGTAGTAGGGTTTGGCATCACTATTGTACACTACGTTGAATACAGTGGANGGAGTCCCTTTGTATTACCTATATCATCCTATAAATAGAGGGTTTGGGCATCACATTATACACACTTGAATACATAGAAGAAATAAGATTCTCCCCTCTCTTTCTCTCTACATTTATATATATATATATATATATATATATATATATATATATATATATATATATATATATATATATATATATATATATATATATATATATATANATATATGTGTGTGTGTGTGTGTGTGTGTTTTAATATTAATAGAATGTTGTAAACTACTCTAACAAATCATAACCTTAATACCTTGATGGATTTTTATAAAGACAAACTTTTTCCTTCAAAGTTAATGCTTAAATGTATAAAAGAATTTCAAGCGTTTGCTTTGGGATGTTAAATTTTGCTTTGAAATTGTCACGGAACTTACTATGATCATGTGTTTAAAAAATTTCATGTTTTTTGGATGTAATTTTTTGATATTCCCATGCATGTAAAAATATTTACAATTATCTTAATGTTTTGCGTTTCTCAAACCTGGCCTTTCAGATTTCTATATGATAATTCGTTCATGAGTCCAGGTTCTGTATAGGTCCAAATTTGGTAACTACGATAACGGATAAGCAAAATATAGGACGGGGTTGACCACGACAGAAAGACTGACGGCGGTCCAAATGAAGGCAGACGACTAGACGCGGGCAGCTGATATAGGATAGTAACGGTAACTTAAACTTAGAAGTAGACAGGAAGAACAATCCTTTGGATATTCTTTATGTTGTACTTTTTAGGATTTTTTGGGAATGTCCCTTATAAATAGGAGGAGATGGGGAACAAATGGGGATCGACCCTTTTTGAGAACTGAGACATATTGTAAATTTGAGAGAAGAATATACGAAAGAGTTGTCTTATTCTCTTTATTCAAGCACATGTTGTTCAATCTTTATCCATAAATCTCAAGATCCCATAACTCCGATTGGTTACTTACCTTTCCACATCGTCAGACAAAGGAAACACCCAATCGCATAATCATTGGGTGACGATTCCTTTACACTACAACCCGTATCATTTTCGCATTTATTATACATTTATGATATTACATGTCTTGCCAATCATAGCATGTTAAATTTGCTATTTAATGTTCTTAACCCTAACTCATCGCACAAGAACTCTCTTTTGTTTGATCTAGGATTTATTAAGTTCAACTGAGATTCACCCTATTAATTTATCTTGATTGGTTTAGTAATTATTTGCTAAAATAGGTTCTAGTACATTTGAGATTCATGATTTTACCTTTGGACACATTGTAAAGGACCACATATTATGAGCTGGAAGTAAGAAACAGACATGGATATTACACAAGATCTTCACATCAAATTTGTCACCTCCCACATAGATATTACTTAAAGTAGGCAACACCGTGAAAATATCACTACTATCTACTATAGTTATGGTACAATGTCTGTTATCATTGTTTTTTGAGACTTCAAAATTTAAATCCTAGCTAGCCGACGTTATTTTTCAAAGATCAAGTCAAAACTAAACTTCAGATCATCCAAATCAAACGCCAGATGTAACAACAGAAAAGGGCATATGGAAAAAGGTAACAATATTTTTAAGTGTCTAGAAACATGATATAGTTTGCCAGAAAATATGTAATTCTATTGTTTCATACTACCAAAAGACGATGATATGGAAGATTTGTAGCTATTCATACTCATATAAACAATGGTAGTAAATTAAAATACAGTAAAAAATTTCTGTGGCAGCTAAATACGCAAACCATATCTTAAGAAGTAGTAGTATATTTTGGGGTAGGAATTATCCATAAAGCAGGTGCCATGTTGTTGGCAATTGACGTCGTGAAACTTGAATAATGGGTCTGGAAGCTGCCATCTTGAAGGTGAATAATATCCAAACAATAATACAAAGACTTATCTCCTGAACCAAAATAGTGCATATGGTATATGGAATTCGGTTTACATCCCAGAAATTTGGAAGCCGAAACAGACAATGAACTATGATCTTCACACAAGAACAAGGCTTCATCGCCCAAGTTGTCCAACTCTTCAAATATTAAATTTTGAGTCGTTGGGCTTGCAACCAACTTGGAAATCTTAATTGATGACTTATCATAATATGGATGAGATATTTGAACTCTTAGTAACTTGTTAGTTGTGGTCTTTACGAGATAAAATTTTCTCCTTTTCAAATAATTAGTACGATTAATTGACGGTGGTGCAATCTCTTCAGATATTAAAGTAGTGCTGTCCAAAGATAAAACACGACCTCTATTAGTTACAGCGTAGTATCTCTCGTTGTATTATATCAAATCACAAAGAGTAGGAAGACGATGATGAGTGTAACTCCAGCTTTTACTACCAGGCTTTAAGATAGCAAAATCAGAATATCCCATGCACATAGCCGCGATCTCAAAATTAAACGGATTGGTTGAAGGATTCTTGGATAGACTAAATTTAGCAACTTGAAAGCTAGGACTAGGAAGATGAATTGACTCATCGGAGAAAGGATTGAAAAGGATGATATTACTGCAATCAACTGTTTGAAAAGCCAACCAACCGTTGTAAGAACCGCAAGATTTCCTTGTGTAGTCTGGTAACGGTAGTTCGAGGTCCAAGATTATTTTATCTTTGGTCACATTGTATAAGCTTGTGTAAATGGTAGAGCTGTCTCGGTTTGTAAAGATCATTAGCAGTGGAAGTTCATCAATAGAACTTGAATTGATGAGTTGTTGTAGCGTGTCATAATTGTTAGATAGGAAAGAAAACCATGACTTGCACACAGCACCAAAGCGTAAGCAATCGGAGATGGAAAACAACTTTTGAAATATCGAGTCGAGTAACAAATCCGAAAGCCCTGACCAATCTCTTGATCTTAACTTGGTATCCATGCGTTTCAATAATGTAGGCTCAGAATAAAGAAGAACTTGGTATATTTAAAGAGGAAGGAGTAGTCGTGTTTGTATAGGAGAAGGAAATAAAAGTAGGCCAATTTCCTTTTCATAATTTGTATAGGAATAATTGTTTCCTACATTTAGTGGGAGAGTTTGCAACATGCCGCATGTTCTTTGTAAGGCCAATTTCTCCTTTACATTACTAGTCACGTGGTGTTTTGAGTTAGCTTGCACGCCCATTAATTTCATGAGTTTATATTTTCTATGAATTTTTACCTTCTATACCAAACCTTTACACCTTATTTATGTATAAATAAATACTTTTTTATAAAATTATATTCTATAGCTACCTTTTAGATTTTATAGCAAATTATCTATTTATGGTCACTTTCTATTGTTAAGCCATTAAATACGCTCTGAAATATTTTTCTCTCTCATACTTTCTATTCTCTCTCTCCCAATAATACCGGTATTGTATGCAATTTTGTTAAACCCACGTTCTCTCTCCACTATCTCTCTCCCAACCCAGTATCTTTCCCACGATTACAACCTCCATTATCAACTGATTCATCTCCATTCTCTCTCTCAATTTTCAAAATTGTTTGCCCAAAAAAGTTGCGGTAAGTGTTCAACTTGTTAGTTTTTCGCTGACACATGTATTATTCTGTATGTGTGTACTTTTTTTTTTGGTAGAAACAATCACCTTTGTTATCCTTTTACAGAAAACTCGGATTTTCTTCTCCAATGGCCGATTCAACTCCTTACAAGAGGGTTATCCAAGGTATACTGACTAAATCACTCAATTTCGAAGGGCCATCTTTCCAATTTGCAAATCACTCAAGCAGAACATGTATTTGCAGGTTCAACAGATAATACAGTTGCGAAAAGAGAGCAAAAATACGCAATGACACATCGAAACAAGCCCAATTTGAGAAATTCGAAAGAATCAACACTTTCACTGTTTGTTTTTAGATGTATTCAGATGTACTTAGATGTATTTAGATATATTTAGATGACTTTCATTGTTGTACTTATGAATGTGTTATATATTTCAAATACATGTATTCATCTATATTTTACTGATAAATAGTTATTACAGTGACTTTCACTATTTGTCTTTAGATGTATTTAGTTGTATTTAGATGTATTTACAAGGCTTTCACTGTTGTACTTATGAATATGTTATGTATTCATCTAAATTGAGTACATGTTTTGAAAACTATAGAACGATAGCAACAGAAAAAGGAGGGATTGAAAATCTAGAGATTGCTCTGTTCTGTGGTCTTTTTCGGCTGAGAAATCTTTTCTTTAACGTGAAATACAGATTTTGCGTGTTATAATTGAGTTAGTTGTGTTATATTAGGAGCCTATCGCGTTAATTGATTCACGTACTGTTTTAAACAGCTGAAAAGATCATTTTTACGCAGTTTACGTTACTGTGTTCAGAAATACAGCTCGCGAATACAGTCGAATACAACCATTGCTTAGCTGGACTCCCCTGTTTCACGCCGAGTTTTGCTACTGTATTCATGAATACAGTAGCTTAAATACATCGAATACACTCTATAACAACTGAAAATATAGCTATAGGAAGTAATTTAGTAAATGATAGCTATAGCTAGCTAATAACCACTAAACAATAGTGGTTTGTGAAAATTTCTCTATTTTCTATATATAGAGGGTGTTTGGCTAAGCTTATAAGTTGGTTAAACTAGCTTATAAGCACTTTTCGGCTTATCTACGCGTTTGTTAAAGTTAAAAGTACTAATAAGCCAAGTCTTATAAGCCAAAAATAAGCCAAAAGCCATAAGCTGGTCACCCCCAGCTTATGAATTTTTAGTTTATAAGCACTTTAAGTTTGACCAAGATTTTTGCTATTTTATCACTAGAATATTCCTTTTCAAAATAAAACTCCTACATTGATACTCACTACCTCACGTATTTTTTCAACCTAACCCCCCCGCCTCTTCAACTATGCAATTCTCATTGACTATTTGAGGTAGGCAAATTCTCTGTTCCTTTGCAAATTTGTATCTATGTGATTGTGTATTAATCTTTGAACTATATGTAATAAACGGGGACATATCAAATTTTTGGTGTAAGGCTTTCTAAGTGTTGTGGTGATGAAGACAGTGTTTCACTTCAAATATTTTATCCTATTTAGGTTATTTTTTTTACTACAAAACTTTTGTCATTTATTAATTATTATAACTTTGGATTATATGATTATCATAAAATAAATTATATTTATCATAAAAATTATCTTATCTAATCACAGTTGTATTTAAAATAAAATGACAAATAGAATATTTTGTATTTGAATTGATTTGGAATCTGAAATTTTGAAGAAATTACGCCCTTATAAGTGTAAGCAGTTCTAAGGTTATTCAAGTCATTTTAACAGAAAAAGAGCTTATCAACACTTTTTATCAAATACTGCAACACCTTATTATCAATTTCAGCAATTCTATCCAAACGCGTAACTGCTTATTTATTAAATCAGTTTCAGCACTTAAAAGTACTTTTCGGCACCTAATGCTTATCAGCTACTTCAAATCAGCTAATCCAAACGGGCTCATACTTTTGTAATTTTGATTTTTCGGAAATAGTCTCTCTGCCCTTTCAGGGGTAGGGGTAAGGCTGCGTACATCTTACCCTCCTCAAACCCCACTTATGGGAAACAACTGGATTTGTTGTTGTTGTTGTTGTTGTTGCTGTAATTTTGATTTTCTTAAATAAGTTTTTGTGCTTCTAATAAAAAAAAATTTTGGTGCAAAAGATGTTATATTATATAATATTGAGGTTGAGGCATCAAACACAACATTCTAGGGGGGCGACCTCTGGATGGGTCGTAACAAAAAGGGGGTTCTGGGGGTAAACTATAAGTTGTGGCCATTTCGGAATGATAATAAAAACCTCCCATCGATGGTGCTAGTCTGACAGTGCGGGGGTAGGTTTCTAACAAAAAGAGTTCTGGAACGGTCGTCTTCAAGCATCTGCTATACAAAAGGCGGGGGTTGAGCAAAAACGGTGATGTTTGGTGAAGCCTCCATCTGCAAACCATGTTGAGCTAAGGAGTCAGCTACCTGATTTTGCTCCCTGTACGTGTGAAGGATACCTGGATCATGCAGCTGAGCGATCAGACACCTGCAATCAAAGATGATGTTAGCACAAAGTGGATGAGAGGAATAAAGTATAGGAATAAGGGACTTAGTATCTGATAATAGGCTAGATTTATGTAATTTGGCAATTGCTTATACTCCAGCTTGATTATGTTTCAATGTTATAATATAATTAAATGATGAAAAATGGGCTCTAATTGTGAATTTCACACGTTGCAGGAGTTAGGAGCTTGTATGAGGTCTTAAAGCTGTGATTGAAGCTACATTAAAGCAAGAAAGATCCCTAGGAGCTGAGTATGAGAGAAGACGAGAAAAAGAATAGCTGAAATAAAGGCCTGGACTAGCGTGTCCACTAGCACGACCGCGCTAGTCCAGATGGTCGAGGCAGAATGTTTGAGAACTAGCGCGGCCATTAGTGCGCCCACGAGCGCGGTCGCGCTAGTCCAGCTCCGGAACATTAATTTTTAGGGGTAAAATTGGAAGTCTGGGGGTAAATTCACTTAACCTATAAAGGTCAAGCTTGCCCAAGATTGTTTATGCTTGTTTTCTAGACTACTTTGGAGGCAAGAACAAGTGTGAGAAGATCAACCAAAACATTAGAGTTTTTCTATCTCTTTTATTTCTTGCAATTTTACATTATGAACAATTTAGTAGTTTTCTCTTATTTTGTTATGAGTAGCTAAACCCGTTATCTAGGGTTGATGAAACCAATTGTTGATTGAAGTTTTGGCTCAACTCGTTATAATCGAGTCGGATTTATTATATGATTGTTCAACTACGTTTTGTATGGTGATTAATTGAATGGGCCCTTGATTAATCGTGTCTAATTACCTCATATTGCTTGAGAAAGAATATGAGGTTAGACAGCTGTTGAACAACACCACTTTTGGGTAATTGAAGAGATTCATTGCTTGAACTTAAAAGTGGGTTTAGAGATAACGAAACTTTGGTGGGATAATTTAGAGCTGTACATATTGTCGGCCAGAGTATTTCGAGAGAATGCTCTAGTAAATTATTATAGTTGATCGAGAGATAATTACGATAATCCATAGCTCTTAATCCTCATAGAGTATTACGGCGAGATTATAGCGAAAGATTCAAGACCTAAACTAGCAATTGGGAAAATCACTGCCCTAGAACTTTTTACCATTGAATTATCTTTGCTTTAGCTTATTGTTGTTTTTAATATTGTTTGAAGTAGTTAAACAAAAATCCAATCTTAATTGATCAAAAATCTTTGTATCTAGAAATTGGTTGAGTTGATAATAGCATTGCCAAGAGTTGTAATAAATAGGTTAGTTCCCTGAAGATTCGGCTCCGGACTTAAAACCGGATTATATTTGCAACAACCGCTTATCTTTTAGAAGGCATAGCTGGACGTGATCAAATTTTGGCGCCGTTGCCGGGGAACTAACGGTGTTATTTATTACAATTTAGAAGTGGTGTTAGAATTATTAGTTTAAATCAATTTTCGAAGGTGTTAAACAATTTTTTTATTGAAATTCTCACGTTTGAACTTTTGTGGAGTTCAGGTGTATGCCTAGAAATTCTTCAAGGACTGGAGAACTGCTTGAAGGACTCTCAAACCCCGAGAAAACATTCAGGGCATTGAACCGTGCCAACAAGAGGATCCAACAATCACAACAACCACACCAGCTCGAATTTGACATGGGTGACGCAGAAAACGTCAACGGAAACGTCGGGGATCCGCCAGCTGTCCCAAACGTCAGAGTAGTGGCACCTCTTGTGCCAGAAGCTGCACTTTATGATTGGGCACAACTCACAGCTGAAAACTTGGCTACTGCCATAGCTGTGCCTGCAATTCAAGCGGAGACTTTACAGATAACCAATAACATGCTGCATCTTCTGCAGAAT